TGAATAGCATCTAATTTGGCAACAAATTCACATAGTGCATCAAGTGGTGGAAGCGCATATTCCCGCTTCCTTTATTATGCGATCTTGTTTCCTCTACCATCCACCTTGTTCCCTCTGCATAGACATTTTCTTTAAATGGCTTGTTAATGCTGACATCTAAAGGATGCAGAATGAATGTTAAACCTCCTGATATAACAGCTTGTTTGGTGTTGAGGTGGTTTTAAGCGCCTATGTGATATCCTTGGTCAGAGTGTTGGCTAAGCAATTCCACACATTATCAATCCACAATTTCATCCCATCTTCATCCATCCATCCACTCTCTTGGACATGAACAAAAGCAGCAGAGGAATATTAATTTAGGCATGGTTTTCTGTTTGAATATTACCATAGGCTTCAGTTTTGTACCGTCACTCATGCAACTCAACATCACAGTGAAGTTTGTTTACTCATGTCCTGTTCTTTTTCATCATGATGGTTTTTGCTCCTTAAATTAGCTGTTTTATTGCTGAGCATGTCAGCGAAAAATAGGGTCTCGTCCATATTGTGATTTGACACAGCAGAAAGTTGTGTGTCTTCCGTGAATCAATAATAAACCGTTGAAGCGGTGACTTTGTGTTCGAGGTCAGCTGGAGAAGGTTTGAGCTATTTTGGTCTTCTGCAGCAACACCGTCATGTCTTCTCATAAACCTAGAACACCCAGTTTGGGGCAGCCTTGAAATTTTGACTTCGAGTCTGGATTTGCTCTTGCCCTTGATACTTTTCCCATCGCGGATGTTATTTCTTGCTATGGTGATTTCATTCTGCTTAAGGTGTTCACGGATCCTCATTCAAATGTTCTTCTATTTCTGGCCACTAAAGCTTTGCCATATCTTGAAAACACAGTTTTCTTTTGCCATTTTACTTATTGTATGCCGTTCTTCTTCCAATCCCTCACAAGTTTTCACCAATTCAAATCCTGCTTCCTGCTGCTAGGTTATTGATGAGGTTCATGCTTTGTTAAGTTTGGCAGGAAGGGCCATGGCTGTCAGCTGTCTGGTCGAGTGGCTGTGTGTGGACTGTGGTGGAATAGCAGGAAGATCAACTGAGTTCAGTGTTATTTGTGATTGTTGGGTCCAGTCACTAACGGCGTTATTATTAATGCCGTCATGTATAGAGTGGCTTGTTTGTTATGTGTACAGTATGTGTGTTGATCGTTGACTTGGTCCTTCCTGGCCTTTCAGGCAGCTGCTGGAAGTTGGGGAATTGACTTATACGGTAGGTATATCTCTATATTAAATTTTTTTGGTTGAAAAGGGGTCGACTTATCGCCAGATTGACTTATATTAATAAGCCATATCACGGTAGTTCTATAAGCATATGTAAGCGGCGTGCTTGAGTGGCCATGAACTCACTCTCTGTCTCCTCAGTGGAAAAGTAAGTGCACAGCAGGGTGCGGCACTTTCCTTATGTGGCGTGACTCTCGTGAGTTATGTCGACATTACTCACAAGAAGTTCGTTCAATTGTGTACCAGTGCTTGGGATAGGGAAGGGAAGGGTATACACAGTGGTTAATGGGTGGATTATTCCAGAACTTTAGCCGAGCTAACTTGGCAATGGTGATATTGGTGGAAACAGCCACGCACAACATCCCAAGCAAGCAAGCAGCCATGCTGGCACGACCTGATTTACCTTTATTTCCAGGATCTTGTGGTATGCATACGAGTGAAAGAGCCGTGAGATCAGCTTATAAAACCGTCGACTACCCTACACAACAGCCGAGGTAGCCATGTGTGGGATCCAACTGTATAATTAATGAGGAGACTTAATCTCTTCTGACTGTGGTCGAGTACATACAGTTTGTACACAGTGATCTGGCCTTTACTGGGACAGGATCACCTCTGTCACTCTCAAGTCAAGTTAACGGCCCCTGGATGCAACTTCAAAGTACTCTATGGAGTACAGTATGAATAGTGGCCGAACTGTGAGATAAAAATCCCATGGTACTAGGAAGGAGAGTAGCTGTACTGAGTCTATAAGTGCCTTCCATTTTCTTCAACTATGAGTGTATGTAGGTTGCTTAATCAAGTCCTGGTGTGAGGTCGATGACCTTCACGGTTATCTTACACTCTGGATCTGGGGGTGCTAAGGCATTTAACTGGTGCTATGCATGTGGAGTAATTTTATTGTAATGGTGTACCCTGGACCAGTGTTGTTGTGCATGGTTACGGGTATGGTGGAGGAAGCACCCATGACTTTTGAACTCAGGAGTAAAGCATGAAGAATCAGTTGGTGATCCATCCCCCTTACAAGTCATGAGTGGCTCCTCGTTCTCCCATAATTTGGGGTTTTATGTACGTGCATGTTGATTGGGCTCTGATGATATCAGGCCATTATGACATATAAAGATTATTTTGTTGGGTTTCAATATTTTACAAATACATTGCTGAGAGAAAGCTGAGGTAGGGGACCCATCAGAGGGGCTTAACTCAGGGAGACGCAACCCTTGACCTCAGCATTTCCTGGACAGGTGAGGCTAGATCATCCATTTTGTTAGGCCGTGCTTGGGTTTGGGCTATTTATTGGGTCGTGTGCGCTCACACTGGGACCAGTGTATATTTTCCTATACAAGATAATATTTGTGTCTAGTGCTGTAAGATGTGTTGTGGGGTAAATCCAGTGAACTATTTTTCCAGTGCAATTTATAATTTTTTAGTGCTGTAAGGGTGGTGCTGTTGAGTAATACAAGTGTCATGCCATTATCTGTGCGTCTCTTTAACCCCAATCTCAGGAACACCAGTCCAGGTCACGGTAAATGTTAAAAGTAATAATGTTATCTCCGTTAGCCGGAACAATTGGTGCAGAGCACTTCCAGGAATGAGAGATTTCCGGGTAATGAGACGACTCTCTCAAACCATAAAAAATCCCTCATCCCCGGAATTTTCCAGGTAACGAAAAAAATTCTCGGAAGTTCCAGAAATTGCCCATTACATCTTCTCTCGAACCTGGAAAAATATCCCTTATCCCCGGAATTTTTTGGAATTTTCCGGGTACAGGGAAAATTTTCTTGGAATTTTTCGGAAAATGTGCCCCTTGGAAAATCGTTCCCAAAGCCGTAATTTTCCGGAGAATTTCGGCTTTGGGAACAGTTTTCCCGAGAAAATTTCAATTCAAGCTATCGGAGGGTTCCAGGTTTGAGGGATTCCGGCTAACGGATTTATTACTGTACCGTATATCACGGCCTATAAGACGAAATTTGAACATTAAAAAAATCTGCCCAAAGTTAGGGGGTCGTCTAAACCACCAAGTTTAAAATTCTTACCTCTTAAATATTGTGGTTTAGTGTGTCAAGAGTGGTGATGAAAACATCGTAAGCCACTCACAAGGTCTTACCACTAATTATTTTATACTGAAACTTACGTTTGGCAAGCTGGATTCAAATTAAGATTACCGGTATATTAAAATAATAAAAATGTATTATAAACCTGTCTAACATACCGTAAAAGAGATTTATACCCCTATAATAAACACAGCTATCATCACACACCCCTCCCCACGCCCCCCCCCCCATTTGCCAGTGAGGAGCCGTGGAGGTGGTCAGTAATGCATACCGGTATCGGTATATTTACTCATAATAATATTTATCTCCTATAAATAATTGATTTAAATTTTATTTTTTTCCAAAGAATATTCAGTAAATGAGTGCATTAATTCTTGAAACTATCGACGGTTAATTACAGACGCTCAAGTGACGTCACTAGTGTTTACACTACACCAGCTGGTAATATTTGATGCCATTACTTGAAGTGAATTGGCCTTATTTTAAGTAACTAACTATAAATAAATACAAAAATTAAAAAAAAAGATCAAAACTGAGAAATAATATACTGTATGTATGTTGTGTTGTCAAAGTAAGAGGAACAATTGAAACTGCAATTCGGTAAATCTATTTCAAGTAAATGGAAAATAAGCAAACATGTTATTTACCAAGACGCTTCCCTCTGGCTCAGGGTGAGATGGAGGGGAGATAAGGCTATTTATAGCTCGTCTGAAGTGGCCAGTACCCTAATGCACCATAAATAATTCATTGAACATTCATTTTTTGTACATAGTATATTCAGTATATATATATATATATATATATATATATATATATATATATATATATATATATATATATATATATATATATATATATATATATATATATATATATATATATATATATATATATATATATATATATATATATATTTGTGTAATAAATGTATGTAGTAAGTACATACTGGTAACCTTTTTCACTCAAATCCTAATGAAACACCACAATTAGAATACGGTGGTTGCTGTTGAACCACATGTTGTATAAATAGTCGGAACACAGCCACACCACCGAGACGAGGGAACACTCCCACCACCGATCGTCTCGTGTGAAGCAAGCGTATAAATGAAAGAAAATACTTGCAGTGTGTTTAATATGTTACAGTATATTATAAATAAATAAATAAATAAACAAATAAATCAGTAAATCCATTTCAAGTAAATGGAAAAATTTTACTCGATACCGACATTAGTTCCAGTTATCGGTAAATAGCAGACGCTTCAGTGACGTCACTAGTGTTTACACTACACCAGCGGGTATAATTTGATGACATTACTTGAAGTGAATTGGCCTTATTTTAAAAAATCAAGGATGGTTGGTAAAGGACTACTGAGTCAGTGGGTAAGTGTCACATTTGGGGTACTGGTCTTATACAGCAAATAGAGCTCAAAAGCTACTTTTTAAATGGAAATTTGGGGGGGGGCGTCTTATGCACCCCGCCGCCTTATAGGCCGTGATATACGGTATCTAAATTTTGCTTGTGCTGATTCATTATTCTGAGGGGCCCTTTCACTGCATTACCATCCATACAAGAGGTGTAAATTTGTACTGTGGTATGCTGAGTCATCATTGACACACACACACACACACACATAACAAGGGCATTTTAAGCCCAATTATAGCAATTTCTACCTGAAGTGCTTACCTGTGCAGTGGAGAGGAGGTGACCAGACACATTTAACATGTCATCAATGCGACCTGTAACCCAAATGTAACCATCTTTGTCTCGCTTGGCACCTGAAAGAGACAAACATACATTCAGTACAGTATACAGTAGTATATACATGTACAGGCAAACAAATCCACATTAGTCTGCTTTTAATTTTTCAGGTCAAAATTCATATTTAGTTCAATATCTGCCCTGAAACATTGATCATTTGTGTGAACTGTATCTAACTTTCTACTGCTCACATTCAACAAGTAATTTATCATAACTTTCTTTTACCCTAGGGGCAGATCTGGGGGGGCTATCTGGGGGGGCTATCTGAGGGGGCTATCTGGGGGGCTATCTGGGGGGGGCTTCCTGGGGGTGCAGAAAATTCCAAAACCTTTTCTTTAACATAGTATTGTACTCAAACATTTTTGTATAGTAAAAAGTAATCACTATTGACATCAGAATATCTCCTAATATCATATGGCTTCAAAATGCCCATGGTATTGGTCAGCTGGGTGAGCTCGCTGTGCTTGCCATGTCCCCCCCCCCCACCTTTGATATTCCTGAACAATTTTGTATGTAAGAGAGTAAAATAAAGTGAGTAAAATTATGCATATCCACCCGAAAACAGGAGTCTGACTTAGCAACATGCTACGTCCACACATCTGTTCACTTTACACACCCATGCTCTTCATATTTTTTATTTAATAGCAACATATTTTTGATACACAGGTACACACCATATAATGCAATAAATTAATAACTACGTACAATACAGGCAACCCCCATTACGCAGAATCCTGGGTTATGGAAATTCGCCCTTACGGAATCTTGAAATTACCCTGTATGACCAAAAAAATTGAGATATATAAAAAAGAAATTCAATTAAGTTTATTTCGTGTGTGCTCTTGGTGGTAGCCACAAGATGGTTGGAAGGTAACTCATCTCCCTAGCAGCCACCACAATAATGGTGCTGCTCAATTCGAATTCTTTCCCCAGCTTGTGTTCAGATATGCTTCTGTGTTCAGGACTGTACTTGCCCTTACGGAATTTGGTTAATTTATTGTGATTATGGCTATTTGTCTGCAAATACAGAAAAGAATGATATACAGTATATGAATATGTATAAACATAATATTCGGCTTCTTGGGTGGGTGAAACTTTCTTTTTCGATTTTCTGGCAATCTTTTCACTGGCACAATCTCTCTTCAGCATCCAGCAGTAGTCTGCCATCATGTTCACATTCCACCTTCCTTGATATCTCTTTTCCATTTCCTTAATGTCCTGGTGAAATCTTAGACCTTACTCTTCACTTAAACTACATAAATTTTCAGGAAAATACTCAGGATGGGAATGTAAGAAATGCACCTTTACACTCGTATTGCAACCCGTGTTTTAAAGTTATTCAACATGCTTTAAACAATGTTTTGATTGTTTAGATCTTTTCTATTGCCTAAAAAATTGTACACAACATTCTTGAAACTACTCCATGCTTATTTCTCACACTAGTTCATCGATTCTTCAGATTGGTGGTCCAACATTAACTTTCGGACTTGAGGGCCCACGAAAATGCCAGCTTTGATTTTTTCATATCTGACTGATGAAAATTCCCTGCATATGTACCTGAAACAATCACTTTCCTTATCTAGGGCTTTTACAAATTGTTTCATTAACCCTAGTTTAATATGCAGAGGAGGCAACAGCACTTCATTAGGGTCAATCAATGGGTCATGTAGAATATTTTTTTTAACCTGGCACAAGAGCCTGTCTAGGTGGCCAGTGTTTTTTGTCCCAATGTTCACGTCTTGCTCTGCTGTCCAATTCGCACAAAAAACCTGGCATTTTTGTGTATCCACTCTGTTGACCAAGCAACAAAGCATTGACTTTGAAATCTCCACAAAACAACCAACCATGACCTTTATAATGAACTTTCTCTAGAAGTATCTGCAAATTATCATAAGTTTCCTTAAGATGGACACAGTGAGCCACAGGAATTGATGAAAATACATTTCCATTATGAAGTAAAACTCCTTTGAGACATTTTTTTGAAAAATCAATGAGCAACCTCTATTCAGTAGCTGTATAGGTAATGCCAAGATAGTTAATTTAAGCAGACACATTACTACAATAAACCAAGGAGCCTTCCTCTGAAAAAACTTAACTAATTCTTGTTCAATTGCCTATACCATGAAAAATATGTCCCTTTGCTCAATAACTTCTTTGATTTCAACCTAGATCCTAAAACTTCAGCAGACTCCTTTGGTAAATTCAAATCCCTAACCAGATCGATAAGTTCACTCTGGGTAAACACCTCCGGTACATCACTATATCTTCAGGTTGATAAACATCACTTCCGTTACCTGACGATGAATCACGGTCAGATCCTGATGACACGGACTGCAACACATCTGGCGGAATGGGGACTGGAACCCCAGGACTATGTGGCACTGGTCTCATGGCAGATGGAATCTTGGGATAAATGATTCCTTGTTTATTTTTTGCATTATATCCCTCTATCTTCACAGAGCAAAAATAACAGGCTCCCGCCATGCCATAGGGACTCCAAATGGCATAACTTTTTTTTACCATATTTCCACAGTTTTAAACCTTCAACACAAGTGTGACATACTTTATGTGGCGCCCATAGTTTATCTAAGTCACCCAATTCACTCCAAAGTAGGCAAAACATGCACTTTTCGCAGATGCGATTATTTCTTGTCTTTGCTTATGCACAACAAAGCACCCACATATGTAGCAGAATACATTTGGATTGTTCAACATCCACAAGAAGACATATTTACAACAGAAACAGGATCTTAGTAGAGCAAAAGAAGGAGAATTAACATTACATCCACGGGGAAAGGAAACAACTTGGTCAGGTAATTCAATAAAATACAGTGGTCCCTCGGTTAACGATTTACCTTCCATAAGATTCTTAACTTCGGTTAACGATTTACCTTCCATAAGATTCTTAACTTCGGTTAACGAGCAATCCCTCAATTAACGAATTTTTTACGAGCCGACTTCAACATGTTTTCGCTTGCATTTGGCGGTCCACCAGCTGTAGTATTAGTCCGCCAATACAGTAATCGGTTTTAGGGCTTAAATTCCTTATTATTTTAGTAAATATCAAGAAGTTTATACTATTCAATAATTTTAAAAGTTTAATATTAAATTTTTTAGTCATATTAACAATTACACTGGTCAACATAAAAAAAATTCTCATGGTTCTGGATCAAAACAGTCTGATTCTAGTGTAATTGTATGTGCTGAACTCAATTATGACATTCGTATAGCTGTATCAGGCTCAGTTTTCCAGAACCAGCATATCTATATATTTAGTGTACCATGCTATTCATACAGTAATTTATATGCTCATTGGCTCCACTTATGCAATTATTTTGTCCTGATTTGTGCTTTTTTGTTTGTTTCAGTTTGCTGATTCATGATATTGCATATCTACACCTGCATGATTTGTAATTACTCTGAAATTAACAAAACATGGAACGTCGCAAGTGTGTGAACGGTGCTGACAGTTTTTGCTACATATGTGGTGCCTTCACTCCTGGTAGCCTCAAGAAACCAATCACAAAAGCTGTTCGACTGAACTACAAAAGTTACTTCAAATGTCATTTGGGTGACCAAGACAAGAAATGGGCACCTCATGTAGCCTGTAAGTCTTGTGTTAACCACCTGAGCGAGTGGATGTGTGGTAAACGAAGTTCAGGAATGCCGTTTGCTGTACCAATGATATGGCGTGAACCTAAAGACCACAGTAGTGACTGCTACTTCTGTCTCACAAATATTAAGGGAATAAAAATCAAGACACGAGGCAAGGTACAGTACCCCAATATTGCTTCTGCAATCCGACCAGTACCGCACAGTGCTGAACTTCCAGTCCCAAATCCACCGACTGAACAAGAATTGAGTGATTCCGATTCTACCTCTACCTCAATGGAAAACGACTACCAGGATGACTCTGAAAATACCAGGCCTAAACTATTTACTCAAGAAGCGCTTCATGATCTCATCAGGGACCTAAACTTGTCAAAAAAAAAGGCTGAAGTTTTGGGATCCAGACTAAAGCAGCTTAACCTGCTAGAAGATGGAGTGCATATCACTACAGCGCGTTACCGACATAGACAGCTGTCTGCATTTTTCAAGATGGCAAACAACCTTTGTTATTGCGAGGACGCAGTATCTCTCATGCAACAACTCTGCAAGTCTGAAACATACAAGACAGAGGATTGGAGGCTGTTTATAGACTCAGGAAAAGACTCTCTGAAAGCTGTTCTTTTACACAATGGCAATCGGCTTCCATCTGTCCCAATAGCACACGCAACAAAAATGACTGAGAGCTATGAAACAATGAAAATTCTGTTGGCCGCTATAGAGTATGAGAAACACCAGTGGAAGATATGTGGCGATCTCAAAGTCATCAGTTTACTACTGGGCCTTCAGAGTGGCTACACAAAGCACATGTGCTTTTTGTGCTTGTGGAACAGCAGAGCTGATGCAGAGCACTATGTGAGAAAGGATTGGCCGACAAGACCAAGAGATGCGCCTGGAAGGTTTAACTGTGCTCACAATCCGCTTGTAGATCCAGAAAAGATATTTTTGCCTCCACTGCATCTAAAGCTCGGTTTGGCTAAAAATTTCATCAAAGCTATGGATCAATTCGGTGCTGGGACTCTATACTTATCTCAGAAACTAGGTGGTGTGGTTTCCGAAGCCAAGTTGAAAGCAGGTGTCTTGAATGGACCACAAATTCGTATACTAGTTAATGATAGCGAATTCACCAAAACATTGAACCCACTGGAGAAAAAAGCATGGGAATCATTTGTCAATGTGTCAAAGAATTTTCTTGGAAACTATCGTGCTGACAACTACAAAGAAATCGTAACAACCATGCTTCAGAATTATCATGCATTGGGAGCAAGGATGTCCTTGAAATTGCATTTTTCCACTCTCATATTGAATTTTTCCCAGGTAACCTTGGAGACGTTAGTGATGAACACGGCGAAAGATTTCATCAAGATATCGCCATAATGGAGAGCAGATATCAGGGACAATTCAGTCCTAA